GAATAAAGTCAATTATTTTATTAAATGTAAATAGTCATTAATACTCCTACAACTAGGATATATTCAAAACTTAAAAGTAAAATCATTTTTTCTTTTATCAAATTTGTCTATTGCAAATGAGGTGGAAGTAGATTGTTGACAATTTTCCTGACATAGTGCTAATAATTGACTAGATCAAAATAACTCAACTAAATTCTAGTGCTTATTCTATTAGTGAAGTTTCTAGAAGAAAAAAATATATCAAACGACGCAATGCACCTTGGGTCGCTACGAAAACATTCTCCTTTTATAATTACAAGGATAAAGTTTGCCTACAATTGACCCCCAGACCCCAACCAGTTTAGAATATACTGAGTATGTTGGTGTTGTTGTTTTATCAAGTGTAATTTTTTATTCAACACTGTTAATTACTCTTGATTCCACCTTTTTTCTTTTCTCTCTCATCAGGTTTGATCACAATATAATTTTGGTCTGATGGTTCTATCCAAGATCGCAACTTTCCGTCATCAGCACCGTTTTCTTCAAAAATCATTCCCGTGGGCCTCATCCTCACTCAAGCAGTTTCAAAGGGTTCTCACCAAAAACACCCCTTTTGCTATTCCAGTTCAAAATAAGACAACAATAAGGAGAATTTGTTGTTCATCAATAGCAGCATCGAACATGGTTAAAGCTATAAGGGTCCATGAACTCGGTGGCCCCGAGGTATCATCTCTTTTCTTTGTTTTTCTCGGTGGCCCCGTGATGGCATTAGTTACTGTAACGTTTTTGAATCCTGTGTTGCGATGTTAGTAACTGGAGATTTTGTCATCTATGATTTTGGATTGAGAAAATAATTTTATAGATTTTGGACTTTTGCTGACAATCATATATAGCTTGAGCTTGTGTACTGTTTTGCCATCTTCCAATGTACTGAGATTAATATTGAATTATTGCAAATTCTGTACTCTGATTGTTGAGGGTTGGCAGTTTTAGTTCATGTCTTCTGGTAGAAAGCAATTTTGTTTGGACTTTTTGTTCACTATCATCTCTAGCATGAGCTTGTATTTACGTTGTTCTCGGGTTCTGTTGTGTTTGCCATCTCTCCATGTACAGAGATTGATTTTGATGTAATTGCAAATTCAGTTCCCCGAGTGTTAAGTGTTGGTAATTTTACTCCATATAGCAAGTCCAATTGATCTGTGGTACTTTGTGTATTCTGGCATTCAACAATATTTGATCTTTTTGGAGTATGCTAACTACTGAGAAAACCGGTAGGGAACCAGATATGTACAAAATCATATATTGTTTGACAAAGTTGCTTTAGTTGAACTTTTTGTGTCTACAAGTGTAAAGTATCATTTATTCTTTTTCATAGGACTGAGATTGCTATATCAAATTTTTACTCACTGAAATTGCTAAAAAAAAGCCACCCTTTTAAGGAACCAATGTTGCAATTAAGCCTTAATGTTTGTCTCGAGTGTCCTGCCATGATTGTTTTGCTTAAATTAGAGTCTGCACATTGCAGGCTACGGATAGGGCTTGGGGATTGTGTTTTGTTCAAGAAGTATCTTATAGACACTGCATAACTTCTTGATCTTTGTATTCTGTTTAAGGGCAATGCTAGTGGAAATTTGTATCAAATATTATTTTGCCTCTGATTGAAGTGACCTGTGTCCCAGACCCCAACCTGTTTGGGAATATACTTGGTATGTTGATTGAAGTGACCTGTGTGGTCTGAAGCACATTTTATTACACACATAGTTGTTTTCTTCTTTTATTGCATACCGGATTTGATGCTTTTCTTATTTCTCTTGTTCTATCATTTATTACGAGAAAGTTGGTTTTAAGTTTATGGAACATCCCAGATAAAAGCTCTTTTGACTCTCCTCAATTTCTCGGAGACCAATCCTGAGAGCTTTCTTTAGCTTCAACACCTTTCATTTCCAATTTGTTGTGATCTGGAGCTTCTATTATTCCCCTTTTCCATACATGGTTAAAATTCTCCGATATTGGCATCACTCTTCATCATCTCTTACTGTTGAACTTAAATTGTGGCCATGTAAGCTGTAGCGGAGTGATTTAATTTTTCATTTTCCAGCTAACGCATTTCATCATCCACTGCTTTTTACATTGATGGTTATACATCAGATTGGAAGTCCTGATTTTCCTTACTTACTGGTCCATATACAAACTGATCAGCCCATTGTGGGAGTTCTTTTATTAATCTGTCACCTGTTATAATCCATCCATATTATTTTTCACATCTCCGCAGTCCGCACAAAGCGCCGTATTGCACGCAGTCTTTCATTTAAAAGCATGTTTTTAAAAAAATAAAAATAAAAATTGCTCTTTCCTTTTTTTTCTTTGAGATGGGCTGCAAATTTAGATCAAATTTTTTTCTCGTAATATAAGAATCCTGTAAGCTCTTGTACTGAACTGTATGTATGCATTTACATAACCTTACTGTGAACTTTCTTGATGACAGGAACGGAGGCTGTTGGTGTGGTGACAGTTGTAGAGACCGGGCTTACTGGAAGAAAAGTTGGGGATGTTGTTGCTTATGCAGGTCTTCCAATGGGCGCTTATGCGGAGGAACACATCATTCCTGCTAAAAAGTGGTGCCTGCGCCTCCTTCAATCGATCCCATTGTAGCAGCATACATCATGCTCAAGGGAATGACTGCTCAATTTCTTCCCCGCCGATGTTTTAGAGTAGGTTTCCTGTTATCCTCACATCCTAATCTGTCGATGATTTATTAAGGTCATGCTGCCAAAAAAAAAAAAGTTGCATTGCGTTATATTTGTTATCCTAACCAAGATTCTCTGTTTTTTTTTTCCTGATTTGTTTTTTGACAAGGCAATGTTACATGTGATTTGCTCAGATAAGAATAATACTTTTAACAATTTTTGTCGAAAGGGAAGTTGTTAGCAGTTGGTTTCCTTATCACTATAACCAAAACTCTTAGTCGTCCATAGGCCTCCCGGCGGGATTTCAACCTCCCGCCATTTTCCACCATCCGACATTGATACACTTACCGTTGTTTTCAGTTTCATGAGCATGTGACCTTAACGTTTTGTAACAAAATTTTGATTTACATGAATACCCTCGCTTGGACCATCTAAAAGAGAAACTATGATTAATATGACAAAAAAGAAAAAAAAAAAAAAAAAAAAGGTGAGAAATAGATGGGAAATGCTTCATTTGTGCCACTCCAAGAAATCTTCAAATCTAAGGATGCAATTGGGTACCAAAATTTTATACCATCAGCTAGCCACTATTCACTCATCTCCCTAAATAAGATTCACCGGTAATCAGCTCACATATTTCCAAACTCCAACTACCACTCATTATTTTATTCTTTTTACGATATCATTACATTTTTATAATACATTCATTCAATCACGATTTTCAAATAATTCTGTTTCTCCCTAAAAGTTTTCCGAAACACTTTTCTCTAGAGGAAGGATTCTGCCTCATCAAAAGCATATCCAATCGCACTAATTTTTTTGTATGTTTCTTTCCATATTATTGTTTCAAATTTCATAAAAGGAACACTCTACCGAGCCATTCCATATGGACATCTTCTAACTCCATTTCCCATTCTCATTGTTTTTGCAGGTCGAGTCGGGGCACACAGTCCTGGTTCACGCAACAGCCGGTGGGGTGGGGTCCTTTTGTGCCAGTGGGCAAATGCACTTGGGTGGGGCCACTGTTATTGGGACAGTCTCTACAAAGGAGAAGGCAGATCAAGCCAAAGAAGATAGGTGCCACCATGTCATATTGTATAAAGAAGAAGATTTTGTTACACGTGTCAACGAGATAACATCCGGTAAAGGCGTTGAAGTTTTATACGACTCTGTTGGGAAGGACACTTTTGAGGTAACGAGCTAATTTTGGTTAAATGCATATTTTTCTTCCCGACGGGTGAAAATAGGACTGAAGGGGGGTCTCGGTTTGAACCTCTGTATATGAGATATGGGATGGTCTTTTCTTTCTTGTTTTAATTGTTTGAAGTTTAATACACAAAATTGTCCTGGAGCTTAGCTAAGGCGATAATTACTTACAGGAAGCCGGCTGGTTTTCATAATTACAAAAATCCCGCATGGCATTTGACTTTCCATTGGAAATTACCTCTTTTTTTTAAGGGTTGAGTGACTATTTGTTGGGAAAATACAAGCATCGAGTGGTTTTCTTCGTTACAGAACTCATTTTCATGTTCTTTTCGTGGATAGTTCCTGCAATTGCCATTTATTTCAATAGAATTACAAAAGATTATCTTGCCGGATGGCTCCGGGGCTTGAGTATTTGCAAAAGAGAACCCAAAGAAGTTATAAAATCAGTAATAGACCCCCATGCCTTACATTTCTCTTCGTAGAAAGGTTTCCATATTTGCTTTTACCAGTTTTACAATATCACATTGAACGAACCCCCCTTAATTTCAAGACTGAATCAAAACTCAAAAAGGAAAGTTTCTAATTTTCAGAATCTGCCAAATGGCCCAAATCTATAGATATCCCAAACCTCAGTGTTTTTATATTATTTCACTTAAAAGCTAAAACGCACTTCAGTTTTCTCTCATCATCTAACAAGCAAATCATGTGTTTAGGGATCACTGGCATGCTTGAAGCTCCGTGGATAAATGGTGAGTTTCGGGCAGTCGTCTGGCAGTCCCGACCCAATCCCACTGGCGGCAGTGGCGGCCAAATCCCTGTTCTTGACAAGGCCCACCTTAATGCAATACACAGTGACTCGGGACGAACTTCTGCAGACAGCATCAGAGGTATTCACCAATGTGGGCTCATGTGGAAATAAGGGAACTATTGACAAGTTTTGAAAGTGTTTTGAGTGTCCTTCTTTTCACTGTTTGTGTTGGATTAATAGAGTTGTGTTTTTGGCTGGAATTTTATGCTTTTACTATGTTGGGGATTTTTGTTCATTATATTTCATATTTTCACTGCCTTTGTTGTTTTCCAGTATATAAACTTTCATTAAATGAATTAAAATTCTTTACTAATTAGAGGAGGAAAGGAGCCAAAGAAAGAAAGAAAAAAAAAATCCTTTCAAGGAAAAAAGAAATATTAAACATAAAGATACGGAACTCGAGTATGAAGAGTTAAGTTCGAATTGTCATCATTTTTCATTTTCCCCTTTACCTTTCCAAGTAAAATGAACACAACTCAACTACTCAACTTTCTCCCTGATTACAAATAAATATTCTATTTAGCAAATAATTTAATATTCAAGGACCATGGTCCAAAATTTTTCCAAACATGACTTTATATATATATTTATCTTGTTTTTTTTTTTATTAAATAGTTGTGTTGATTCTAAGCTTAAATATACAATAAACACCTTTTTTTCTTTTTTTCTTTTTGAA